GGATACGGAATATGCTTACGTGAATTTCTTGTCAGCGGATAATCCGGACAATTAGATTAACTCCCTAACATTTGGAAGTACATATAAAATTGTCTAATACTGTAGAAACATTATATTCATTTAGGCATGTAACATAATGTATTGATTTTGAATAGACTTTACAGCTAAATACTTCGCCATATTACAATCACTTAACCATCCGATTGGTGTTTAATTTTCCTTATTGTATTTTTTTTTCCTTATTCTACTGCGTTTAACTCACTCATTTATTATTATTTATAAAAGTCTAAAAGGGGCTTTTATAATATCAAAACTTTGCTTTGTCTAGATATAGACGTTTAGCGCTTTTCTTATCGTGATAAGCCATGCTGAGAATTAGAATTAGCTCTGATTAATACACAGTCATAATACATTTACGATGAGTATTTCTAGGATTTGACCTTAGAACTCTCATTCTCAACTCCTGTCAAACCCTCATTTTCTAATTCCCCATGTTTTTATATCATCAACAGTGTGCCTTTAAATTACGCTCATGTTAAAACTTTCTTCATTTCATTTAACTCAAGGCATGTAAGCATGAAAATCTTAAATGGCGTGTTAATATTTAAATGGGACCATCATAATGATAGATGGGGCACGCATTCTTCTCACACCCCCCCGCCTCCCTTATTTTCAACCACATGGAGAACACTGATGTTCTCATGTTGTCTTATAGTTATACTTAAATATTTTTGAGATTTTCTCAAATTAAAGCCTTAGATACGCTTGTTTTTGTGTCTGGATAACACATAGCAACTTGGTGTTCAACTAGTTGTCGTTAGTCCTAGTTAGTAGACATGTGAATAAAGGTTTTCGTTATATTGCCTAAGGTTTAGACTAATACTAAACAAAGTGACCCATTTATTATTATTATAATAGTGAGATCAACCAATTCCCTACACAAAACTGAACAGTGAACAACAAAGAAATGAGGAAATTAAATGAAGAATGTTTTATTGACATATTCCATAATCATTCTGAACATGAAAAGTATTTTGCCTGATAATACTACTAATAACAAGGGGGTAAATACTGCTGTTAAGGTATAAATTTGTATCTAGTGAAGCATTTCAAGTTTCTTCTGGAGATGGATGGGGTATACGTTGAGGCTTGGCACGACAGGCCATTGCTCAAGTGGAATTTTAATGGGAAGAGACAACTGGGTCGTCGATGTGAGGCTGGCATGGAAGAGATCGTGTGGGGAGGAGGAGGATATGAGATATTTTGGGCAGTCGTGTGGCTAGCTGGCTGAAGAAGACGACAGAGAATATAGTGAAGTGGAGATGTCTTGTTGAAGTCCTATGTTCCACTCGGAATCCAAGGGAATAATAATAATAATGAACCTATGAAGAAGTCAACTATGTACCAATGATTTAGGACCATCCAGCCTTTGTATGATTTCCATGTGACAAGTTTTACTCGATACAAGCTGAAGATAGAAACTTTGCCTCATAAACTTTGTAAAGTTTGGATAAGGTTAAATTTGAAAAAAAGTGATTGACGGACTGACTGATTCGCTATCAAAAGGTTTTTCTGTCGTCAACTGTCTCAAAAATATTGTTTTAAATCCAGTGGCTATACCAGACTCTTCCTCTTCAGTTACAGTTGACTTTATTAGTTGAAGCTATGAACAGTGTGTAACAGTTGCTGTCAATGTTTCACACACATGAAGCTTCCTTAATAACAGTTAACATGGAGGTATTTTAGTGTGATAATGAGAATTACTGGAGACTCTTTGAACTTTTATGTCTTTAAAAAGAGAACGTGGTATTTGAGACATAATTTTGCAAATACTATAGGTAGTTTGCAAGGATTAGTTTTTTTTTTGAGTTGATCATGGATTGATATCAGTTAGAGAACCATTGAAAACCGGCACTGAAGTACTGGAGATCTGTTTCATCCTAGTTTGGAATCATCGACAGTACGCACCCACTACCGGAGGTGTGAACCCGGAACCTTCCGGTTACAAGGCAAGCTCGTATACCACTCAGCCACTGGGACTCGGTCAATGGCTCATGAATTCTAGCTTCTGCCAGTTAATATGATGCTGGCTGGTGACTTGCTACAGGACGGAGTTTTCTGGAGTTCTAGTGAGGAGTCGTGGCCAGAGAGGTCCATTCAGTCAAGTGTGAGAATGGATGTCTCACCAGCGACAGTGGTTGGTAGTTGCGCTAAATCGCGAATTGGTACAAGTGAGAATTCATGGACTGGTCACTGAATCGGGTCCCAATGGCTGAATGGTATACAAGCTTGCCTTGTAACCGGAAGGTTCCGGGTTCGAAACCCAGTGTGTACATACTGCCGATGATTCTCAGACTAAGATGAAGCAATTGTCCAGTACTCCTTGGTAGTTTTCAATGGCTCTCTAACTGTTATCAATCCATGATCAACTAGTAAAAACAAATACTGATGTATGTTAGATGAGTAAAAAAACCATACAATGCTCTATACTACTGATTGACGGATATGAGTAATTAAATATTACTTAAAACGGTTAGTACTATTTGCTAGCGAGACGGCCGTTCTCCTCATTTGGAAATGAACCCATCAGCGGTATACCTAGTTTGATTCAGCTTAGAAAGCCGAATCAGCTCAAACTGCCCGACTTCTAGTTAGCTACTTAGAGGAACTGGTATCAAATGGAGTCAGGGATGTCATTTATAAATCACACAGCTCAAAGCAAGAATTCACCACCGTGTCCTTGAGAAACCAAAATTATTTAGACAGCAATATGTGATCTGCCTGATATTATAAATGGCAGTCAACAAAGCAAGCATGATATCATATTTATATACATACTGCTGATAGACTGATGTGAGTAGTAAGGATGATGTTGGCGTCAACCAGTAGTACAAATCACGAATTCTTATTGTATGATTTAAAAAAGTTATTGTCAAGAAAGAAAAATGAATAGTCTTAACTTTTTAATGACTTTAGTGAATGATAAAACTGGCGCCAGACCCGTATGAAATTCAAATACACCTCATCTACTGAATACTAGTCAGAGTGATATTCAACTTGTGAAGAAAAATAGTCAAGATATATACTCAATGATGAGTTGAAAGAGCACAATTCCGGACGCCATTTTCCAGAAGTTATAGATTTGAAAAAAGAGTGCGTTTTGATGATTAAATTATATGAGAGAGAATCCAGATACAACGGAGATGTGTGTACTTCAAGTGGATGGTATTTCAGTAATTATCTTTTCTGAACTCGATGTTTTATTTTATTTTTGTTTTTTATTTTGATTACAGCTTGATGCCACACCGTATTTTCAGTACAAGTATGGAATTTTCAGCATGGATATCGGTAGACCAAATTTTGCAGGCCGACCATAGATATCGGGTGTGCGTCGGCAGGGGATCGAACCCCGAACCATGTGCATGGTCGGTGAGAGTCCTAACCACTGTGCCACCGACGCACATATTTCATTGTCTTCCTAGATAACATCTACTTCGTAGACTTCAATATGACTTCAGTAGGTTAAAGTTAAAAGGCTTATGTAACTGACAATATACATAAAAGTGTAATCTAAATTAAATACCAGATAAAATTAAGGAGAAAATCTATGCGATAATTAAAGATAGTTAAAACAATAGTGGCTCGTAAATGGCTTAGAGAAAAGAAGAAATTATCAGGTTATACCAATCAAGTAATTACATTCAAGTGTTGGTTTGTAGGGCGTTTGACCGGTTTCAGGATTTCATCATGAACTATGAAATCGGTTAGAGGACCATTGGAAAACTTGGGAGTACTAGTGGATAGCTGTTTCGCCATATCCTCAATCGGCAGAAGTTGGAGTTCATGATCTGGTGATTGCATCGGGTCCCAGTGGCTTAATGGTCTACGAGCTCGCCTTGTAACCAGAGGGTCCTGTGTTCAAACTCTGACGGTAGGTGCGTACTGCTGAAGAACGTTAAACTTGACTGTCTAAACAGCTGTCCAGTACTCCCAGGTGGTTTTTCAATGGTCCTCTAACCGATCACTGTTCATGATGAAATCCTGGAATCAAGTAATTATGGCCAAAGTAAGGAAAGTGGCTATACGAACTTCTTCTGAACACATAAGTTTGCCTACTTCAGGTTGTTTCCAACAGCTTCAGCTATATGTTGCATATGCACTTGTAAGACAAAATGAAGATTATTCGAAATACGGTAAATAACTTTAAGTGCCTTGTTAATATCGACTTTATTTTCCCTATTTACACGGTGAAGTAAAACACAGCTGTGATGAATAGACTTTGTCTGTTTCTTAATTTTACCATGCACGATGATGTTAAACATGCTTAATTGCACGCACAATGTAGCTAGCTCCACAGGAGCAGTTGAACTGGTAAATACACATAGAAGAATAATTATCTAGTGTTGGTTTACAAGGAAATCGTAACCAGCGGTGTTCACCAAGTCAGGTAAGTGAACAGTTTCTCGCCTATGAAACTGGCGAGTGGCTGTGCCATATACATCGCCATTTGGAATTAGGAAGTGATGGGCTATTGGATCAGGTTCAAGTGGCTGAATTTTCGAGACTGAAACCCTGGTGGATGCATACTATTCAACATCTGTTCAGTACTCCGTGGTTTTCTAATGGTTCGTGATCAAACCTGTACTACATAGAAGAAGCTAAATCGTCTCGTACTAGATGCCCTTTAATCGACTGTAATTTTCACGAGAAGGTGGCTTACAACAGCGGTCTGCCTTCTTACTAAGTAGAAATATACTAGTAATTTCCCAGTGATTTTTTTGAAAATAGTTTAAATAAATTTGTGATATAAGGTGTTGTTCTCGTATTGTAGTCTTTTACGATGTACAACTTTCTGTTCAAAGCGGTGTGTAGACTGACTGACTGTGTAGGATCAATTCTGACTTCACACAGTGAATTTGTAAACAGCAAAACTTCATTGTATTACCTTCATTTTAATCCGCTAATTTAACTTCTATCTTTCTTCCTTTTCTATTTCCCAGGAGGGCAAAACAGATGGTCAAAAAGATTTAGTTGATAATCTATTAGAATCGTATAGTTCAGCTGCGTATACATTAAGTGATTTGCAACAACGTCCTCTACCACCAGAATTGGATGCAACCTGTTTAGAAACTTATTTGGACGATAAAACTTTCCAGGTAAGTTACACAATCATGAAAATACCTATTTGTGTATAAACATTATTGTTATGTAGAAAGGTTCAAGGGTAACCTTATCAACTGGTTTGTCAATAAGGGTGAATTTTATGTCATTATGGGAAGACCGTCGTTCATGAATGCACCTTTGTGAATCAAAATTAATCAATCAATCAGTCAGTCATTTGCAAAGAAGTTGAACGATATTATCAGTACAACAGTTTCTTTAAACTGACGATGTGTACTGACTAGAAGTCATTTCGAGAACGGGCAGATCACACTGCTTGGTCCTGTGACTTGAACACTCCACATCTCTTCACTTGCATAAAATCGACCTACCACATGTGGACCTGTAGCTGCTCACTGATCTTGGCAATTGACTTTCAGCCGCTCGGTCACGGGTTCAGGCTCCTCCTCATCTACTGAAATCTATGCAGCTAAGTAGTATCACTAGTCCTTAAATTGAAGTAAATTCCAGATTTTTAATCTAATGTGAATTTCTTTATTCACACACAGGTTATAATTTTTTGTCCTGTTTATCTAATAAAGAAATTTCAAGTGTTGGTTTGTAGGGATTTGATTGGTTACAGGATTTTCATCATGAGCTGACATTAGTTAGAGAACCATTGGAAAACCTGGGAGTACTGGACAGCCGTTTCGTGCTAGTTTGGGACTCTTCAGCAGTACGCAAACACCGGGATTCAAACCCAGGACCTTCTGGTTACAAGGCGACCTTGTATACCATTAAGCCACTGGGACCCAATCCAATGGCCCATGAATTCTAACTTCTGCCAATTCACGACATAGCGCGACCCCTAGCCAATGTCTTCGGCGAGTATTTGTCCTCACACCCGACCTGCTGCACCCTACTGGTCAGGTTTCTCTTTTGATGAGTACTCTTCAATCCTTATTGACTACAAACCAAATGATCGAAAGTATATATCTATCAGGGAAGAAAAGATGAGCCCATAGTGGACAGTACTACTCGCTGAAATAGTTTCCTATGTATCAGTGATATATTTTTATTCTTTTCAAATGATTTTAACATACATTGATATCATTTGTGGAGGTATTTCAAAAACTACGGTCATCTGCATAACAGTCTCTGTTCTGATATTAAGAAACAGAGAGAGAGAGGTGGTGTCTAGACATGGCCCATGATTACATATGTGATTCTGAAATCTCACTTTTTAAATGCATTCCTGTTCACTCACTCAATCATTCACCAATATTGTCAATGAATACAGTTCACTCATCCCATTTCGGTTAATACCGCCGATGTATTCCCTATACGAGAGATTTCAACGTATAACCTGACAGTACCGTGAAGTTTTAACAAACACATGAATAGATCTGTCAGTATAAAATGTTAAAAGCGTAATTCTACACTTCAAAGTTGATTTATGAAAATGAACTCAGATAGGAATTAGGTATGTGGGTACAATAAATAGGATCAGCTGTTTTTTTCCATTCCTTTGCGTCCCACATGGAACATAGAGTATCTATCGAGTTTCAGCTTTGAAATGTTAACAGAAGTAATGTTCTTTCTAGGGAATGGGTTAACTAGCCTTACTTCCAACCACTGGTGCGTCGGTGGCACAGTGGTTAAGATGCTCGCCAACCATGCACATGGTCCGGGGTTCGGTCCTCGGCCGACGCACTGCTTTACCTCGCTAAGCCAGAAATAATGCTGGTGAAGAGGAAAGGTTGGGCATGAGGCTAGCAACCTCATCCTTTAAAATAAGCACTGCTAGAGAAATTCCAAGCCACTGGCTTGAAGCCCTATGTTCCACTGGGGAACGTGAAGGAGGAAAAAAACTTCCAACCATTACTTCTCCAAGCTCACTAGCTACCAATCAGACAATAAATCAGGCGAGGTTAAGGAGTACGTCGGCAGGGAACTTCGAACTCTGCACTACATGAGTGATTATTCGTGAATATTTAACCATTGAACCACAGATACACAAAATCCACTCTACCTAATTATCAAAGATATGTAATTCTGCATATGTACATCGGGTGCAACTATTTCTGAATCCTAAATCAGATGACCAGAAAAGATCAGTAACAGGGAGGGATCTCTGGGAGCGAACCAACTAGGAATCGATTGTGCGACAACTAAGCAGGAAGAAATGGAGATGGATTGGCCATACTTTGAGGAAACCATCAGGTGACATCACAAGACAGGCCCTAGAGTGGAACCCGAATGGCAAGCGGCGAACTGGTCGTCAGCGCACATCCATTTATCATTTGTCGGCTGCAGAAATTGATCCGTAGCTCAGCCGCAAAGAAGGCTTTTCTCAGTGATCTGGATAAGTAGTTCTTCTGAATCTCAGCTGTGGTATCACATTTAAATTCAACGTTCATAAATAGCTATTTCTTCAGCATCGTCTGGGTTCTTTCGAGTTTTTGTCTAATTTTTATGTTTTTCTCGATAAATCTTGAAGGATATCCACTTTCCATGTTGACTTGTTTGAGTATCTCCAGTTCACCATGGACTGTGCCGCTGGGGAATATCCTTCTTATTCTTGAGGACAAGGAGTGAATAGGATTTCTCTTTCTTCTTAAAGCGACCCAACTATGGAAATTCGTGTATTGACCATTCCATATTGGTTTCCTGCAGATCGATATTTGAAGAGAACCATCAGATCTCCTTTTTAGCAGAACATCTAAAACAAAAATGAAATTCTGATTTCATCTCTGATTCCGATGAAAACTGGATGGTATGAAGGCAGCTGTTGAACTCCTTGGTTATAATTCCGATATTTGTATTCTCGTCACATATGATGAAGGTATCATCCATGTATCTTTGATACATATGGAAATTATCGATAGTATGTCGCAACATATTATTCTCTATACTTGTTAAGAAGCAGTTTGAAAGTAAAGGACCCAGTGGCAACGCCATCGCCACTCTTTGTCTACTGAGCGTGTTTTTGAACTTGAACTGGACATTAAAAGTACATCTCAATGGTAGTTCCTTTAAGTAGTAGGCTGGGATACTCACGTCCAGATTATTATCCCCGATGAATTTGCATATAAAGCAAATCGATTTTCAGTGAAAGAAACTTTAGTGAAGAGAGACGTAACATCCAGAGATATTGTTTTCTTCCAAGATACTTTAGCATCACTTATTGAATCGATGAATTCAAGTGAATCTGAAACACCACGCTGACAGAGATTATTTCTGACAAGTAGGAAGGATGTCTGTGAGCCATTTGGCAGTAGCATGATATGGTGAATTTGTCATATCCAAAGTTGGACGTAGTGGTACCTTCTCTTTAACCGAACTTAAAGTGACAATTATTAGTGACTATGTGGCGAGACCTGTCTGCAAGACAAAATTGTAGACAACAATTGACATCAGTATTCACATCCCGAGTCGGGGTCATGAGAAAAAATCAAGACCAAAGCCTAACCTTGAGGAACTCAACAACCAGCCACAGCAGACTTAGCGTAGACGGATACGTTTCGCAGATATATGGCTTAACTTTCTGAGAAACGGTCACAAACAGTACAGAAAACAACCAATCAGAAGACGCTGTTGCTCCGCTGACAATAATTTACATAAAATTCTGTGAACACCTCTTGATTTTCTCGATAAACGATCTGTTGCCTGGCCCTTGTCTTCTGTCGTTACAACTGTACTGTACAGGCTATACGATAAATCCTGAAATGTAATTTCAGACTAGATTATACAGAGTTCTCTCATCCTCTTCATTTTTGGTAATAAATATGTACGGTAAAAAAATAAATCACTTATCAAAGAACTATGTACTGATATATAGAATTACATTTAGTTTATGGTTCTATGTTAGAAAAAGAATGAAACAGTTTAACAGACTACTACTTCATTTATTTCCGATTAATACTAATCACTTATCTGATTTGTACGCGGACGACAAGAAGCAGAATATTTTATGATATCGCGAAAACTATCGCGTGTACTTTAATCATGTGATCTGTATTAGTCTATTGATCAGCTGATAATCAGCTGATCCGCTGATAAACACCTGATCATGTTATATAGATAGAAATAGTGTCCGAGATGAAAAATATGACCTAGATAAAGGGAACAGTGATTTTGCATTTATCATTGAACATGTTGTTTATTCGTATGTTTCGACTGTTTTGAAGGCTACAAATTGAACGAAAGTGTAAGCTAATTTCTAAATAAGCCACTTTCATATGTACATACATATATTGTTGCCTGAATAAATTCTAACAAGTCACCGAAGCTCCGTTGACCCTACAGTCATTGAGATAGAAGTCAACTGGCCCGTGAATTCTAGATTTTGTCAGTCTTCGTCACCTGGAGGTCTTGGATCCTATTCTCGTTGGGGTCATAGGTGTGTGTAGAGTCCCAAACTAGGACGAAACAGCTGTCAAGTACTCCAGTACTGGTGTCACTTTGTTATCTAACTTGAAACCAATGAAATCCCTTTCGAATACAACACAGGAAATTGAGGAAAGATCAAATTTTCAGTATCACAGCATTTCATTTCGTTTTATAGGTTTTCATCAATTGTAAATAACCTTATGTTACACTGGTTATAGTACAATAAAAGTATCATTTTGAACTTTGTTTCTACAATAGAAAAGGCATAGTAAATTAGAGTATCAAAAATGCAGGATACTGAGACAGTACGCATCTCAATTTGTAGCTCAATCAAACATCAGTTTACCTGATATCAAATAAAACGATCAGAAGTGTTAAGAAAGGGGAGACTAAGTAACATACGAAGAAATTGTAGCTCTCAAGATTGAAATCAACTCTATGATCAGATGAAATGATAAGGTTAGGTAAAGTATAAAATAAAGGTCCATACAATGAATTTAGAAAGAGTCAAAATATAGTTATCATTAGAATTAGAAACTGATCTCAGATACACACACACACACATGTATACGTGGATCCGGTTGAAAATGTCTTGTGATAAGGGCTTCTGTGAAACCTGGTTGTGCCGGCGTTTTATGCATATATTTAAAAAGGAATTAAAGATGTTAAGAAAATGTCTCATATCCACCACATTTGAGTTCTTGTCTCTTCTTTCTTCCAAAGTATTTGCCTCTTGAGGCATATGTGAAACCATAAACACAACTGAAGGTAACTTTTAGCACTGCGCTTCACTTTTGAATGCATTTCACTCTGTTACCTGCAGTCAGTTTTACCTGGCTCCACAATTACCCACAAACTTTCACTTCCTCCTGACATGATCTCCTTTATATCACTGTAGAACGACCAACTCATCGTTTTCCACTGGCGTCATTAAACAGTCTCCTTGGCGTGTATTTCTTATCCGTGTCCATATATTTTCCACAGTAGGTTCTTTGCTGCACTGCTAGAATTTGGTGTGGCTTATCCTTTCCAGTCAGCTGTCTGATCTTTATTATTGTTGATGAAAGTCTTCATGAAACTGTAGGAAATGCATTCGCTGATTCATGCATTAAGTCTCTGAACCATATTGAAGCACTAACCTAATATTACTAATGAAAATCCATATTTCACTCTTTATGCTGAATGCAGTAGATTTCTTCACTGATCTCAGAGTAATGGAGGTGTGTCTGTGCGTGTCCTCACTGTGATATCTTCATCTATGCCGTCTGTAGTTGAAACAATGCTGCCTAGCCAGGTTAAGTGGGAGAGGTGACTTCATTTAGGTTTCTCCTGTTGATAGTCATATTGGGTCCTTCTGTTTTGGACTAGATATCTTCATCACCTCTATCTTTTCTTTGTTCAGTTGAATTCCTGTCTTCACCGCCTGCTTCTGCTGCAAACTTGCTGGTTTTCAACTGTAGATCTTCGAGTTTTTGTGACACCTAGACATAAATTGTCCAAAAGATGCAGGTCTTCGAGGGTGTCTTTTTGTCCGTTCAACGTATTCTCGTCTTCCCGCTGCCTATGCACGGTATTTTGCATGATTCAGTACACCACAATCACGAAGACGATCGATGACAGTACACAGCTTCTTTGCTTCACTTCAGATATGGCATCATCTTGTAGCTGTTGAATGCAGTTTATAAATGCTCGTGGTATTGCACTACGTAATGTTGAAGTAGTTCACAAATTAAATTACGGTCAACGTTATGGAAGGCCTCTTGTAAGTCGATGAAATGAAAAAAGAGAATTGATTGCCATTCTACCCTGTGTTCGGTAATGATTTCCTCTTCCTTAATGTGGCTTATTTCCAATGACGTTCTCCATCCAGAACATCTTTTCGTCTCTCCAGAATAATGCAGCATATCTGCGTACCAGTCATTACAAAAGGTTGAAGTGGCTCCCAAATGGCATTGTATAAAATGATGTTATGAGTTCGACTGCAGAGAAAAATTTTTTTAACTGATTAAAAATGCCCATTAAAATTTTCAAAAGAATGGACACGGAACAAAGAGTACTCTTTTCGATAAATTCATCATCAGGTTCTTCAATTATATGTATTTTATAGTGAATGAATGAATTAGTGTTACGAACAATATGAATGCTGTTTAAATAAAATCGAATCAATAATATCAATAGATTACAGCTCAGTAGCATCAACATAAAATAAGCTGAATGTCAGAAGAATTAGGAAAGATAATAGTACAAATTCATGAGTTTATAGTTTCTACTGAGGGCCAGGGCAGTAGTAGGGACTGGACTTGTTTCTTTTGAACACAGAGCACTGGTTGTTTGAGGCGAATTGTAATAGCCTCTGCTGTTTGGAGCATGCGGTGCTTCGACAATTTTGGTAATTTGTTAGGCACCCGGTATATTATGGAGAAGGATTCTTCTACGCTGGCTTTGTGACCGGTTTGCACCAGATGGTCTAATATCGAGCTGTTAATAGTCTTAACTACACCTTTACTTAGCCATAGTGGGATATGTTCTCGAGCACGAAAAATCAAGTTCCTAGAGCAACGGCCAATATAACTCGCTCCACAAGCGCAGTTGAATTAGTAGATACAATTTGAAGTGGCCAGCTAGTCTAGGTACTTCATCTTTCAGTCAAGGTAGCACCATCGGTCGTGTAGAGAATAAGACGTGTAGTTCGCCAGCATTAAAAGTTCTCTGAACTGATTTTCTTAATTTCTTCGTAATTATCTCGCTTGGTATATCGTCCATGAATTATAGTCGTATATATAAAGGCTTCTTGTTTACAGACAGTGAGTAGTCCTTTTCCGCTTTCTTTGTCATGTGTTTCTTGATAAATTTCTGAGGATAACCATTTTCAATCAAACTATCATATACAATGCTTAATTAATCTTCAGTTACTTCTTCTGAGCATATATCTCTAACTCTGTGGCTGAGAGTCTTCACTAAATTTCTTTTGTAATTGATAGGAACGAAACTGTGAAAGTGTGTATATTGTCCTGTCCAAGTGCTTTTTCTATGCAAATTTCTTTTTATGCTTTCATGTTTCGTTAGCATCTAGAACTTCCCAGCATTGATAATTTCTCTAGGGTATTGAAATATTGTATCGAATGGAAACAACTGTTCAGAAATTTGTTTAACTGACGCATTTTTCATTGTTTTGTTTCTTTTTCAGGCTGTATTTTCAATGTCTAGAGAAGAATTTGCAAAATTACCCATGTGGAAACAGACAGAATTGAAAAAACCATTAGGATTATTTTAATCAGGATCACTTCTCTCTCTCTCCCTGTGTGTGTAAGTGCTGTTCACATCAAAACAATCCCTACAATGAAACACTCAGATACACATGCATACAAAAGCGCACCGACACACACACATACGCATGTGCCCAAACAGAGAGATGTATCCTTCAGAAGTATTTCCCTCCTTTCTCTTTGATCCATCTTGATCAAAGCATCCAGTCGTTTGTTTGTTTGTTTGTTGAAATAAAGAAAACGAAAAATATCAACGCCCATCATCAATAACAATTTGATGACAGCAATTCACTTCAGAAATGCATATCATTCAGATATATACAGATTTATAAACACATAAATATACATCACACACATATATAAACCTACGAATATGAGATCAGTAAATCCCCCGGAAATGATCAATCAGCGTGATTTTTGTTGTTAAAGAGCGCTTCCAGCTCCTTGTCACATTAAATATCCCTCTGGAATGTCATAAAACCACTTTTCTTCACACTAAGAATATTGACAAGCACAGCCCCCACCCCCTATTCATCACAGTAATAAACTGCACATATACAAATATGTAATTCATAATTTATTTTATGGTATCTGGTTAGAAAAGAGTCTTTGGAGACTGACTGATTGCAATGTGTATGAACTGTTTTATTGCACTATTTTTTTATACGGATATATGGAAATAAAATGAAGATGAAGAGATATTAACGCAATCCCACTATTACTATTATTATTAATACTACTAACACTACTACTAAGGCGGTCAGTAGTGTCATCCATTGTCATTGACTTTCATGTCATACTCAAATCCTAAGCTTATTGACTTTCTTCTCCTGTTATTTTTTGATATTGTTCATCATGATGTGTAAGTGCCTTCATGTGTGTAAAGTGTGCCTGGTCGTATTATTATCACTATTATTGTGATTTCTATGCATACTGTACAAACCAATACATCTTGGATGGGATGGGAGGGGAGGAACCGACAATTCACTGTGGATTGATTCTTATAAGAGACGTTGTACTCCTCTGCCCTGTCTCCCTCCTCCTCATCCCGACTACTCTACATCACTCACTGATAATGAAAGTATAGTTGAGGGGTGTAATTTTTGACTTATATAGATAACTGATATATTATTATTACTTTTATTATTATTATTATTAACTGTCTTTCATCGTATAATGTGCATAACAGTATGGATAGATTAAACATCACAATGAGAATAAATACATTCATTTATTTACTTACTTACTGTTTGCTGTGTTCCTTTGTATTTATTTAATGTTTTATTTTCACTGCTTCTACAAAAATGACATTGAGAACCCTCTCGCCCTCCCCCCCCCCCCCGACCGAAATACACTCACACATAAACTAAGTTTGTCAGTTGTTATCTGCAGTTTCTACTAATAGCTGCCATTATTATTATTGTTGTCGTTATGATAAACATTGCTTGTGTCTTTTTTAACCTTTTGAGTGTCATAATCTCTTCTGTCTCTCTCTCTCTATCTTGTTCGATCGATATTTTCTGTGTTATTTTATATGTACTTGAACTGAGTTACCCTTTTGTCTTTTTGTTTGTTTGTTTTTCCACATAAAACATATTTACATTATACATATATATAATGATAATAATTCTTTTTTTTAAATAATACTTCTTATTCCCCTCCTATTTCGTCGGTGGGTCAGGAGTAGAACGCTCGCCTGCCACTCACTTAGTTCGGAGTTCGATTCTCCACCGATGCACTCCTAAACCTCATTAAGCTGTTAGTAAGGCTAGTAAAGAGGAAAGATTGGGTGTGAGAGGCTAACAACCCTTTCGTGTAAAAATAAAACCACTGTTACTGCAATTTAAAAGCTCTTGCTTGAAGCCGTTTGTTCCACTGGGAGAAGGTGATGACTGGGACTGTGATAGCAGCTAGGCTAACATTAAATCTTTCCACTTGGTGTTGATTGATTGGTTTTTACTGGGTAGGAACTTTCAGTCTCTTCTGTTGATATGTTGGTTCCTAGTACAGTATAAGACACTATGTCACTTGGTTTTGTGGTATTTAGCAGTAGAGTTCAGCACTCTCTGCTTATCCTGCTTCAGAGTCGTTGCCTAGATAGGTTCACACTGAGCGATGATGTTCTCATTGAGATTCGAAGACAAAACCTCTGGTGACCATAACCGACTCGCTATGGTCTGAACGCAGGAAACTAATCTTTACAATCTTTCTGAATGGCTGAGCAAAACTCTACGGACAGTAAAAAGACGATTATTCTGGAACAAGCACTTACAATCAGGTTGAATATTCTTCAAAAAGGTGGGATTAAAAACTCTGTTTACAAGAATTACGCACCAATGCTTCGCGCGGACAGTCCAAAGTCAGAAATTACTCAAACAAAATCACAATCGTTAAACAACAGATTATAAATGTATCATACAACCTTAAAGGGAAGCATTAAAATTATAGACTAAACAGAGACAAAAACAAATGACAAGGGTCAAATTAGCATATCATATGCAAATAATAATAACAATAATAATAATAATTTGCTTTATTCCAAAACAGTACTCGTGATACAAAATGGAATTCTCAGCATTTTTACTACAGTATTGCATCCAGTTAGTACATTATCAATAAATAGAATTCTGCATAGATTAAGGAAATCTCAGTTCATTATGACAACAACACATTGGCATGTCAGTAGCAAAGCCAAAGTTGAACAGTGTTTGAAGGTGTTAGAAAAGTAGGTGCTATCATATTTACTGGCATCAGCAAGAGAAAGAAACAAAGCAGCACATAACGGAAAAGGGAGAGAGAGAGAAAAAGAAAAAGAAAAAAAGAAAATGTACCCATAAATGATATGAGTTGGAAAGACGAGTTGTACTACTGACTATTTAATAAGTTATAAGTTTCACGCCTAATGCTTTCTTTATCACACAGAACACGAGCTAAGTAGGGTATGGTTGAGTTTTTGTACTTGCTGGTGCGAGCATATAGTTTTCTATATTGGCTTCTGGTTTTGCCTGATGAGATGCAAAGGGAGAGTTGTGAATGAAGAGGGTGGTGTGAGTTAGATAAAATGGATTTAGCCCATTTTTCACATGAGTCCATGTGCCTGTCAACCAGAATATTAACAAGCTGGTTAAGTAGCACGTTGCTTACCCTGCTGACAACCTTTAACATCCTGCGTAATAAGGTATAGTCTTTCTTCAGTAGCCCTGGAAAAACTAAGGGGGAACAATAGAGAATAATAGGCAGAATGCGAGAGTTAACGAATTGTGGGAGTAAGGGTTGGGTTATACCAGAATGTCTTAACTTCTTGATGTAGAAGGTAAGACGGAATATTTTCTTAGAAGTCGCCAAGATATGAGACGACCAGGAAAGATCAGCAGATAAAATGACGCCTAGGTATTTAAGGCGTCATAACAATAACATACATTCTTGAAAAAAAATGGATAATAATTACAAGGTTAGTTGAAATGTTCAAATAAGTACAAATATTAGGATTAGGTCGTCCAGGAAGGGCTTCCCAAACAATTTTTCCATGACGGTACCCACCGTTTCGAACACCAATACGTTACCCTTTGGTGTTTAAAACGATAGGCACAGGTCTCGAGTTTCAGTAAGAACACTATCACTTACTGAGGTTGTAACTACATCCGACTGAAGAGTATTACCTTCCGTATTCCACTACTAGCCACGCCTAAGGAATACCATAGAATCTGACATAAAACTTAGGATCAGAAATGGCAATGATAATGAAAATGTCAAAGTACGGGATGCTAAGGAGGGTAGAAAAAAGTATTAAGGAAGACAGGTAAAAAGAAAGCAAAAAAGTGTGATCAGAAGTTTTGGACAGATTAAGAGTTTCTGTAGTCGCATCATTACCATTGCAGACATTCACAGATCATGGTATTTAACATAGGTAAAACCTGTGTATTCTGATAATATACACATGATTCCATGTTCAGAAATAACAACAGATTGAGTGAAGGAATATGCATTCCCTTTCAGTTATTTCCCCATCATCGGTTGGCTCCACACTAGTTTATAGACTTTTACATCAAGATTTTTTTTGATTGCATGTAGGATTTCATCATGAGCTGACATCAATTAGAGAACCACTGGAAAACCTGGGAGTACTAGACAGCTGTTTCGTCAGCCTAGTCCGGGACTCTTCAGAAGTACGCACCCACCGACTAGGGTTCGAATCCAGGACCTTTACGTTACAATGTGAGCTCGTAGGCCATTCAGACACTGAGACCCGATCTAATGGTCCTTGAATTCTAACTTCTGCCAATTCATGACATAGCGCGACCATTTCGCAATGTCTTCTTCGATGAGTTACTGCCCCACATCTTCAACTCGCTGTACCCTACTGGTCAGATTAATTTTCAAGTATTGGTTTTGTTGAGATTTTGTTTGATTGCATGGAGAATTTCGTCATGAGATGACATCAGTTAGAAGTTAGAATTCAAGGACCATTAGATCGGGTCCCACTAGCTCAGTGGTCAACGAGCTAGTTCACCTTGTAAGCAGAAGGTCCTGGGTTCGAACCCTAGACGATGGGTGCGTACTGATGAAGAGTCCAAAGCCAGGACGAAACAGTTGTTTAGTATTCCCAGGTTTTCCAGTGGTTCTCTAACTGATACCAGCTCGTGATGAAATCCTGCATGAAATCAAACGAAATCCCTACAAAACCAATACTTGAAAATATTTTTACCAATCAAGTGGTTATTTTAGTTAATCAGTTTTAGGTATAGGGGTTGTGTGAAATCAAGAGGTTAAAGGTCATCAAAACAATTAACTAATAGATGTTAGTAACAAGATATCTAAGTTTTGAAGGAGGGGTGAAAATTAATTACGGAATTCAAGATAAGTGGACTCTTAGGCGTTAGTAACAAGTTATTACGCAATCAAGAAATTTTAAAATAGCAATGATGACTAGGAAGAATAGGATGACTCATAAGAATTACGTAAAATACAAACAAGCAAGTTAATAGAATTAGACAGAATTGAAAAATATAATAAAAAAGTCAAAAGATAGTTGCAACGGGAGGGGAGAAAAAGACTTTTTTTTAAAAAAAAGGCACAAACAGCGAAGAAAATTTTCTTTCCGACGATTTATTTTCATGAGCTGTACAATCGTAATTATAATTAACCAATCAGATATTGGTAAATTTGTCCTTGAAAAATTGTATTACTTAATGTAAGGTGTAAGAAGGGGTGACTAATTGTAAGTTAGAAAGGAGACAGAAATTGGCATGACGTAATAAGTGTGAGATAATGACTAGTCAATAAACTGGTGTAGAATGGACAGGAACTAGTGGAAAGTGTTTTTGTATAAAATCTGTATGAAAAAGCAATGTTATTAATAAACAGTAATACAGTGGTAATAAAATGTGGATGATGGGAATAATAATGATAATAAAAGTATTAATAATAATAATAGTGAACTTACATAATAAAGGAAAGAAGCAAAATTGTAGTAAGAACTTTACTCTGACCATAGTAGGGCAAGAGAATGTATGTATCGCTATTGAATGCAGAGGTCCGGTTTCAGATCACGAATAGCTAAAGCTTCAGTTATGTACAGACGGCGTATTCGAAGTCCCATAATACGATATTGAGGGACTCTGTGTAGCACTGTGAAGCAATCATGTGGGGGTGCTCGATGTCCGGAGATGACAAGGTGTTCGAGGATCAAGCTGTTGCTATTCTTCTTTTCTCCTCTGGCTAACCAAGCTGGACAGTGTTTCGGAATACGTTTGTGGACTTGATGTTGCGTACGGCCGATATATTTTGCTCCACACAAGCAAGTAAATTGATAAATACACTTTTTTAAAAACTTAATACATATTATGTAGTTGGTCATGGCAAAGAAAGGGGCTGTACAAATTTCCATGTTGTGATGATTCTATGTTGTTTATTTGATTGGGTATCAGACAATCTCATGGTGGGATATTAATATTAGCTGGATCCAGTAAATATCGTAAAACAAGGGAAGTTGAACAAACTTATCAGTAATCTCAAAGTTAGACCTTACGGCGCTTATTGACAATAAGTTGGTTTCACAAAGATGCTTACTGTCATGTCATGCAACCGATTTTATACCGCCAAGATGATGAAATGTTGTCGTATAGATAATATGCAATTCAAAGCCTTGATGATGTACTGCCATATAAAGAAGGAACATGAGTGGCCTTAAACAGAATTCTTAATAAGGCTGCAAATAGGGTGGTATTTAAACCAACCAACCAACCAACTGACTCAGAGACAAACTTTGTCAAATTAATGACCTCACAGACCTAATTAGGAAAATAATACAATTTACTGAATGCCAATTAACGATTTTAAAGTCAGTTACATAAGTCAAACTAGTAGATCGGTATTAATTAGATTATTGGGACATAAAAGTTTAGCAAGATCTAGAATGACTGATCCTGCTTAGTTAAAATGATCTAGAAACTGGCCCAGCCATTGCTATACATTCACTTGCATGTAGCCATACATTAGGGTGGAACAGAGTAAAAATATTAAAAAGTACTATAGTTAGGTGGAGAGAGAGAGAGAGGTTAATCATTAAATCTTCGTTTATCGATACAACACCTCACCTGTGTGATCCAAAATGATTGGAGGATT